GGGGCGGATGGCGGGGAGCTAGTCAACAGAGTCCTTAGGAAAGGCCTCAGGGGCAGACAGGGCCCGGAGGGCCAGAAGGCGAGGTGGAGCTGGCTCCTCTCCCCTGACCTCGTGGGCCTGAGACCATCGTCATGACCTGACTTTGGATTCTGAGAACAAGCAAAGGCACGAAGGGGCTTACTCGGGGGAGCAGCATGGCCGGGTCTGTGCTTTTAAAAAATAGATGCTGGACGAAGATGGGGGGGGTGTGGAGTGAGGAAGGCTGAGCAGCGAGGAGGCTGTCACAGCCATCGGGGAAGGGCCGAGGCGGGCAGTGTGGTCAGGCCCCAGGCCGCGGGAATGGGAAGGCACGGATGCGTTCGAGCTGGGTCCCGGAGGAGAATCTGGAGGGTTACTGATGGAGCAGACAGAGTGCAGGAAAGCAGAGACTCTCAGGCCACCTCCAGATGCCCCCACCCAGGGCTCTGTGGGGAATGGGAAAGAACCCCTCTTTCCAGGCGGAGACAGCACCATCCACACTAAGCACTCAGGGCGGGCACCACCGACAAGACCCTCACTCACAGGAGAGAGGGACCCCCAGGTCTCTGCGTGAGCAACTTTGGACTTGCAAAGCTTACAATGCCTGTGGGAACCCAAAGAGAGTCCATCTGCTCTGCCCAAGGTTTGGGTCCTTCCCACAGGGATTCTGCCCCTGCCCCCAGCTGTCATGAGGTCTCTCCCCTTCCTGCCCAGGCGCCAGCCCACACCAGGCACAGAGCTCACTGCATTGTCTGCAACTAACCTTGGGAAGAAACGCAAATTTAAAAACCCTGGAAGCTAATGGTTCCACAAGACCATTTAGCACTTAAATAAATGCAAGTTCTAGGACAGCCACAGCCCACATAAAAGTAAACAAATGACAGAGCGAGAGTCAGGATTGCACTGGCCTCGCAGTTTGCAAAGCTTGTAAACAAAGCGAGCTCCCAGAGCCAGAGCTGGACCTGGGAGTTGGATCCCAAAGCACCAGCTCCCAACTCTATCACACGTGGAGGGCCATTTGTCCTGGTCAGCAAAACCATCCTGGGAAACGAGTTAACTAAGCTCTCCGTTCCCTAGAGTTCACGAAGCCTGGAATAAAAAGCTATCTCCACAAGAACAGAGCTCTCATTCTCGTGGTTTTTAAAAGAAATCACCACCAGTGTCACAGTGAAGCTCAACATCCTGATACTCAGGGGAAGGACAGATGTCTGAGCTTGTAGACTTAGAGATGATCACAACCAGCCGGTCATGTCCCAGCCGTCCCTCTCCCAGGGGCCGGCCACTTTCTTTCTTGGAGTGGAGTTTTGTTAAAGACTCAATCTCATCTCCTGACCAGCTGCTCCCTAGAGGCGGGGTTTCTACCTCCTTCTTTGGTCACCTACAGTCCTGTACCCAGTATTTGGCCTGGGATGTAGTAGGTGCTCATTAAATATCTGTTTTGTGAGTCAGTGAGCATCTTTGCCAAATGACCACTATTCACCCCAGCCCTGGGTTTCCCTGGGGCCCTGTCCAGACAAGGGATGGACAGAAAAGGGATCTGGGGTCAGGGGACAGAAGATTTGTTTCCAGCCTCAGACTCTACCCCTCACCAGCATGTGCCTGTGTGAGTCATGTCATTGGTTTTGGTCTTCCGGCCTCTAAAGCAGAAGAAATGGCTGCTCTTTCACTTTTGCAGCTTTTCTGGATGAGGTGATGGGAGGGAATTGCTTGGACAGGTGCTCTGCATACATGAGGTGATCCTCACCACAGTTACTGCAATTGGGAGGGTGGGATGGTGCAGGGCCATGGGGAGGGCACGGACCACAACTTACTCTCGGAAAGCCAGGCAGGTCAGCAGAGTGGATTTGGAGGTATAACTAATGACTGCAAAGTCACAGAGAAAAATGTCACCCAGGCCATGCTCTCTGTACATGGGAACAGGAGATCAGGGTACAAACTGCGGAGCTAGCAGATAACATAAATACACGAGTGGCCTGTTGTAAGGCGATGGGAATGTTGGGGCCCGTGGCTAACTGGAAATTACACCCACGCTCTGCCTAAGGCACCTGCATTGAAAGATTGAAAACACGTGCCCCACCAAGCGCATCTGAGACCTGCAGGTGGAGAGCTGAGGTCCTGCAGACCAGTGTGTTACGCATGTCTTTTTCCTGATGCCTTGACACCTAGGGTATCCTTGACACTGGAGGGACGGCACCTCCCAGGGCCAGCCAATTCCTAGAGAGAGCACACAGCTGGAGCACACCTTTCGTATGCAAACTAACCACTCCAGAGCTCAGATCCCCAGCTGCCCCCTTCATCAGGTCCTCACACTCTGGGTTACCTGCCCTCATCACCCAGGGCCAGGTAGCCAGGGCCAGGTACCAGACCACTAGGGACAGCCCCTGTGCCCCAGAGCCCACGGAAGTTATTCAAACCCCCCAATCCTAAACCAGCTCCCCCTGCTTGCCTTCCCATGGAAGCCACAGCAAAGCCTCTCGCCCGCATTTCCCCCTGGCTCCCTCTGCCTCCGCACTGGCCTGGTGCTTCCCCGTGCGGCCCAGTGTGGCGTGGCAAGCCGCCCCCCCAGGAACTGTAACAAACTTCTTATCAATGGCAGTCGTCTCCTGATTTGGCCCCCCCAAACCTGAGTAATAATAAAACCTACATTTAAAACACCTGTAAACTCCACTGGAGCTTCAAGCATCACAGCTGCTTTATTGCCATTGACTCTCGGCACCTGACACAGTCCCAAGTACGTTGCAGACGCAATTTAAATACTAACCAATAAATGGATAGATGGCCCTGGCTGGTGTGGGTCAGTGGTTAGAGCATTGGCCTCAGCACCAAAGGGTCTCATGTTCGATTCCCCATCAAGGGCACGAACCTGGGTTGCGGGTTTGCTCTCTGTCCCTGGTTGGGGTGCATGTGGGAGGCAACCAGTGGATGTGCCTCTCTCACATAGATGTTTCTCTCTCTCCCCTTTCTCTGAAATGGAAAAAGACATCCTTAAATGGGATTTATATATATAAAATGGATAGATGGACGGACAGACATAGGGGCGAGAGTGAAAAGCTGGAAAGCTGGGTAGAGCATCTGTCTGGCTACATGGAGTTCCTACGCTTCAGTCTCACGTTTTCAGTGGCCTCAGGAAGCTGAATTCTGCACCTGCCTTGGTTCTGATTGGCACAGATGGAGGCAGCCAGGCAGGAGCAAGCCGGGGAAATGGCCGAGCTCACGCTGGTAGGAGTCAGCCGTGGTTAAACATATGTGGCTCACCATCCTGCTGGCATTGGGCTTTGCAGGCAGCTCCTAAGTGAGAGGCTTTGCTTCTGGTAGACAATCTCCTGGCTAACTCAAGCTGTTTCCTCCATTCAAGTGCTGATAAACAGAGTGCCACCTCAAAGGGTCTCAGAACCCAGTGGTAAAAGGGTGACAGCCAGAAAGAGGCTCCAGCCCACCTGTTGGCACAGGCTCTCCAAAGGCGGCACCAGGCAGGCTGCTCAGCGTCACGGGCCCCAAGATGACCCTATGTCTGCACTGGCCCAGCGGGTGGTCTGCGCCCCTGCATCTCCTGGCTGGTAAACTCAAAGTTGAGCGATAGAACCCTTACCCTAAAATGCATCAATCACTCTGGCCGGTGTGGCTCAGTTGGCTGGTGTTGTCCCTGCACGGAAAGGTTGCCGGTTTAATTCCCGGTCAGGGGACATGCCCGGGTTTTGGGCTTGATCCCTGGTTGGGGACATGCAGGAGGCAGTTGGTTGATATTTTGCTCTCATCTCCATGTTTCTCTCTCCCTCTCCCAAGGAAATTTAGCAAGTGTTCCTTAGAAACTATTTATCTCTTGTCCCAGGCAGAGGGGCCTAAGATGTCCTGGGGAAGGAGGAGAAGCCCCCTGTTGGGGGATCCAGCATTTGCAGTTTCTGCTGGACACTCAGTTGGGTGACCCAGTTCTCAGCAATGAATGGCTCCATAAGACCATCCCTTCCCCAGGCTGGACAATCTAAGGGACTGCCCGAGAGGTCGCACTAGGGGAGGGCCATCAGTAGGGTGACCATGAGAACCAGTTCCCCCAGAACAGAACCAGCCTATGCCATTATCCCAGTGTAATTATTAAACTCACCCCCCCTTCTCTCTCAAAAGTGTCCTGGTTTGATTGGAAAATTAGACAGTCACCCTCAACATCATGCAATTTATAAATAAATGGCAAAGTCAGAAGGCTCACAAGTAACAGAGTCTGGTTGCTTTGTTTGCACAAACAGGAGTTTAAGGTTTGGCAAACATGCGGGAGAAGGTCTGGCAGGAGCAGACGGCAGGAAGAATTAGCAGAAGGGAACTGTGCCTGACCTTGGGCTCTGGTGGGCTTAGCTCAAAAGGGGGGGGCGACCTGGGCTGGCTGGGTGAGCCTGGGCCAAGCAAGACTTCACTCACAGCCTTTCTACCCAAGAAAAGACGTTCAGAGACAGCATCTCTGTCTCCTTGTTGAAGCCCCAAGCCCGGCATCCAGCAGAGGGTAGGGACAGAGAAGACAGGGTTGGGATGAGTCCCCAGACGGGCTGCGGGAGACAGGGACCGTGCCCGCATCTTATGACCGGCACCGGCTGTGCACCACAATCCCACTCAGCGCCACCTGGCATTGCTCTGAACAACTTCCCATTCGTCTTCCTTCCTTCCTGGCTCAGACCTTCTGTTGGGATGAACTATTTATCTGTGAAATGTCACAGACTGTGGGCAAAACCAGGACAAACCCATGCACAAGTAAGAGCCCTCTGATGATGTTCACACAGCTCCCCAAACCTGTCAGGGCTGCTGGGGATGCATTTCCTTCCCCCAGTGCTGAACTTGCACGAGCTAAGTATTCAACCCAAAAGGCGCCTGGTAGACAGCGCCCCCACTGGCCGGAGTCTGTGAGACCCAGTCCTTGAGCCCCTCGCCAGGTGAACCTGCGGACACGCGGGCCCCTCCCCCAGAGGCAGGGCAAAGACTGAACAGGTAAGAGGCGGCTGTAAGTTTCACCTGGTGGCCTCGCATGAGGTTTAATCAAGCTACTAAATGCTCAGTGTCCAGTGTTCAAGGACTCTTCCCGCCTCGTACGTGTGTGTGTTTGTGAACTTAAACTTCAAAGCTATTTGTTGTTTTTATGTAAGAGAAGCCATCATGCAAAACTTACTGGTCAAGCAGTTAATCAAATACACGTATCCCATTGACGGGTTTTGCATATTTCGGTCCTTGCAGATAACAAAGCAACTCTAAACCCTGCACAGTCCTGAGAGTGAGTTCCTTGGCGTCCGGGAGCTGTGGTCCTGACAGCTCTGGGGGGCTCATGTGTTATACATTCTCGAAGCTCTTTTCGCTGAGGTTTGGGCATCGGGGGGCTCCTCTTCTTCCTCCTCGGCTCGCTTGTGCTTTAAAAACAAGTCAGACTTCAGGAAGCGGCTGTAGCTGTCGTACTTCATGAGGTTGAAGATCTAAGGGGGAAGGAAAAAGAAATCTGAGGGATGAGGCCGGCCAGGCCAGGACGCAGCCTATCAAATATTTACTAACGCCCATCACATGCCAGAGAAGGCAAAGACGCGCGAGACACACACCAAGACAGCTAGAGCAAGTCATGTGCCGGACAAAGCGGGTTTCCTGGACGTTTCTGGTCATCATGAAATAACTTCAGTGGAATACAGCAGCTTGGGGAGTCCCGTGAACAAGCCTCTCTTTATTTTCCACGGAAGCACAGGCCCACACGGCACTGATTCATAGCCTTGTATCAAGAGGGCCTTTAAGAATCTCCACTTTATTTGGATAAAATGACACAGGGGTGTATTTCTCCAGGAACTTGAGACAGAGGAATAGAAACGGTCCCTGTAGAGACGGTGGTGGTGTACAGGCCACTGTCGTATCAGACGAGGGCCATACTGTAAGACTCTCAGAAGCCTGGCCTCTGAGACCTCAAACAGACCTATTATTATGCCAAAAAGCAAAATGGGACTTATTCGGTGCAGGGCAGAGGAGTAAACCCACAGCCTGAGCGAGGAGGGGCCTCGGAACAGGCCCTAAGTAAAGTAACAGCAGCTGGCTGCAGGATGCAGACACACGGCCGGGCGGTGCCTGGGAATAAAGTGATTCTAAGGTGTGCTCAGCGGGTGCTCCAGGACCCCAGGGGGGCTGAGTCCTCTGGATTAGAAGACTGTCATCTGCCACACCGCAGGTCCTAAAAGAGTGTCCCCTCTCGGCCACCGACCCTATTCCTAGAACCCCCTCCCCCACCCCACCCCCTGCCTTGCCCTTCAGTAGTGGGAGAGAAACAAAAAGGAAAACATTTTCGGCTCCCGAGGGGTACAGTGTCTTTTGAGAAATCTCCCCCCTCACCTCTCTCAGACCTTCCGACTGAACTTTCAGGACGTTCTGCAGACTAAAAATCCACCCTGCTGCCTTCACTCACCACACTGCCAGGGGCTCAACAAGTGGAAAGTTCCAGAGGTGTCTAGAGGTGTCTCTGCCAGGCAGGGCTATCAAGTGGGTGGTAAAACCCTGACATCTTTTACATCCGCCCTTTCCCTACAGGCATGCAGACTATTTTGTAAATTAAATGTCTGAGGGAGTCAGCGGACTGGGCTCGCCTGCCTGGGGGATGGGAGAGCTGGAACCTTCGGCCCTTACACCTTCGCTTTCCCAAGTCGGCTTCAACCACAGGAGACCCGCCTACATCATTCTGCTATCAGCAAAGTCAACAACCAGGGGATGATTTAGGACTTTGGGTTTTCTTTCAACTCTTAAACTACTGCTTGCCCCTCGCTGAGCGTCTTTCCAGGCTGTCCGAGGTCCCCAACGGCTCAGAAAGACCAGCCTCCTCCTAAGCCCCTGCAGTTCCCTACCCGTCGCAATCTGGGAATCCTCCACCCACTCGCTGAGGTTTAGAGAAAGTACTGTATTCATAAAAACACACACACACAAACAAACACCTCCCAGAAAATACAAAAATCATAGCTGGGGTAAGGCAGGGGATGAGGAATGCCATTATCTCTACGTGGCCTCCCACGAATGTGACTCAGCCCTTCCAGGCATAAGGGCCCCCAAGGGAACTTTGAGATGCCCACCTAGTTCCAAGTCTGAACCAGATGCCCAAAGAGCGACTCATGACGCCAGCTCCGTGACGCCCCTCCCGGTGCCCGTGACCCCGCCCCACCGGGTCCATGGCAGGTGGGACCCACCGCTGCCAGCAGGATGCGGTTGGACCAGGGCGTCTGTCTGCAGCCTCCGCGTGTGGGAGTGGAGCATCCTGTTTGCCTGCAGTGGCTCCGAGGCTCACACTTCAAAGAGGGGAAGAAAAAGGGCAGGGGCTGGAGGCACCGGGCGCAGGCGGCGGGGGAGGGAGGCGAGGAGGCGGCTTGGGCAGGGCAGGGGCAAGGCTCAGGCTGCTCTCTCCAGGAGATCCCAAGAGACCGCAGGCGCCTCCCTGCTGCCAGCAAGCTCCAGGGAAGGGGCTGGGAACTACTTAACAAGGGCATCAGGGCCTCACCCAGCCCTGGGCAGGTGTGAGTGCCAGGGAGGTCCTTCAGCCTGGGGCTTCCCGCTCTGGGACCCCGGCCTGCCTCCTGGTGCAGCTCCTGGAGCTCTAGTCACTGGGTGGCAGCCACAGCCATGAGGGCCGGACAGACGTGAAAAAAAGAAGAGATGTTGTTCCCAGTGGCCTCATGTTCTGAGGCTGTGAGCTGCCTGATACCTCCGCACAGGGTCTTCAATGTCACTGGCACAGGGTTTCCTGTGCACTGGCCTAGGGGCCCACGGCCATAGGGTGCTCCCGTCACACGGCCCCTTGAGGGGGGTGCTCAGCAAAGGTGGCTGATAGAAGGATAGAGAATGTGCTGGAAAATCTCTCCTAAGAAGGTGGCCAAAGACGGTGTAGCCAGCTGCGGACCAGAGCCTTGGGGATCACGGGGCAAGTGGCCACAGCTGCGGTCCAGCAAATGTTCGCCCAGTGAATGAGTGGAACCCACCCGACGTGCAACAGCAGAGGGCTGGCGAAATGAACGAAGGCGGTGCCAGCGAGCCGACAGCGCCTCTGACCGGGCACTGGGCCGCACCTGGTCCTCACTTATTCCTCCCCAAAACCCTGCGACAGCCCTGACCGCACGAGGAAGGAACAGGGCCTCAGAGGTTCGGTGCTTTGCCCCAGGGGCTGTGTGTTAGTCTGCTCGGGCAGCCATAACAGGTACCACAGGCTGGGCGGCTTAAACAACAGAAATTTATTTCCTCACAGTTCTGGAGGCTGGAAGTCCAAGAGCAAGGTGTGGGCAGGGCGGGTGTCTTCTGAGCCCTCTCTCCTTGGCTTGTAGATGGCTGTTTCCCCGCTTTCCTCACAAGGTCTCTCCTCTGTGCGTCCGTGTCCTAATCTCCTCTTCTTCTAAGGGCACCGGTGGTATAGCCTTAAATGCCTCTTTAGAGACCCTCTCTCCAAACACAGTCACATTCTGAGGTACCTGGGCTTAGGACCCAGCATATGAATGGGGGTTAGTGGAGGATGTCAAGATGACACCCAGGATTTAGGGTGGTGTCCTTAGGAGAGGAGAGGACACAGAGAAACACACAGAGGGAAGAAGGCCATGCAAAGACAGAAGCAGAGGTCGGAGTGATGGGGCTACAAGCCAAGGGCTGCCAGAAGCTGCCGGAAACTAGGAAGGGGCAGGAAAGGATTCTTCCGTAGAACCTTCAGGAGCACAGCCCTCCCGGCACCTTGATTTGGGACTTCTGGCCTCATGAACTGCGAGAATAAATTTCTGCTGTTTTAAGCAACTCAGTTAGAGAGAATTTGTTATGACAGCCCTTGGAAACTAAACTAAATTATTGATTTCACCTCTCTCCTCCAGGACTCTTTGGTGGGGAGAATTGGCCTCTCTAGGGCTGGACTGTGACTGTCATGTCACCTCATCAACACTCCTCAAGTTGTCTGCAGGACAGAGAAAACCTTGGAGCCAAATCTAGGATGGGGGTGGGGCTCCAGGTGGACAGCAGCAGCTGAGCAGAGCTATTAAGCAGTCAGTCCTGCCCAGAGACAGGCGCCCGTGAGGCAGAAAACTCAAGTTAGCAGCTAAATTGCATTCCATACCTTTTTTTTTTTTTGGCCAAGACAGCTGTGGCTCAGCAGGTTTTGGGTCTGGGCAGCCCCACATCTGTGAGCTGCATGCCCAGACTGTAAACTATTTGGCATCTTGCCTGGGGTACAATCCTGCAGGCAGCCGGAGGTGGGAGCCCTCCTGCCCACGTGCAGCTAAGCACAAGGTCACGCAACACAAGGTCACTGCAAAGCCAAGGCGCCCATCCCTCTCCAGCCCCCAGGCAGCGTGGGGACTGGCTGGGACTTGCCTGTCCATGGGAGGCTCCAACTTGAGAGTGTTCCAGATCTGCTGCTGCAGACAAGGATTCCCACCCCGGATCTTCATCCATGTAGAGACCGGGAAGCTTCCCAGCCCTGAAGGCCCCTCAGTGAAGATTTCAACACTGTCTCAGTTGAGCACATTTCAAGCCTAATAAATCTTCCAACACTTCTCAGAAGACAGGGATACTAGGCCTAAACTAAACATACAACCCGCCTCTTCAAACCCTCCACCATGTTGTTTCAACTGGGGTCAAGGAAGGAAAAACTCAATCCTTTCACACAAGCTCTAGTAAAGGGATTTCATATTCGCTGCAAGAACTGGGCTTAGTTTTTATATAAAAATTGCTGGAAGAAAGCGGCAAGAGCTCCTGTCTCTGGATTCCGCTTCCCCGCACACCCAGACTTCAGACATGCTTCCAGACGTACTCGGACAGAGAGCACAAGGAAAGCAGGCCCCTCTCCCTCCAGCCCCGAGCCATGGGACGATGACAGAACCAGCCGGGCGCTGCAGAGGCTGCTGGGACAGGGCACCCACGGCAATGTCCCCACCTCAAGTTGAAGACCACCTCCCCCTCTTCTGAAGTGGGGATGGGGTGCATCCAGGAGAAGGTCTGAGGGCAGCTGGCAGAGGGCAGGTGAGAAGACAAAACAGCTCCGGTCAGCCCCTGTCCCAAAGCGCCAGGGTGGGCCACCAAAGTCTCAGTCTCCCTGGACGGTGCTCGGGCTTCCTAGACAGGCTCGCCAGGGCCGGGCAGTGTGCTGGGGTGGGATCAGAACTCCAGAAAGAGGCTGGACACGGATGGAGGTAAAATCCCCTCAGAGGCCCATGGGGGCGACAATTTGTCCACGCTTTCCAGAGTCCTTAATACTCAAATCCAAGGCCCACATGACATTCTTTCTGCACAGGGCAAAGGTATTTTATGTTTGTCTTTTGCCATCAGGGGGAGGGTTCAATGCTATTCTGATGCCCACCTCGCCCTTATTCCCCTAAACACCATTTCAAAGTTAAAAAAAAATATCTCCAAGTATTTCAAATACTGTCCTTCCTGCCCCACCCCTCATAAGGCGAACAGCTGTGGTGGACGTGGGGAGCCAACTTTCCTTCCATTTGAACAAAGGCCCACGACCTGCCCTTTCTGGCCCTGCACGTTGGAAAATGCCGGTCGCTGGACCGGACTGGATGTCTGGGAGCGAATGTCAGCAGCACCCACAAGACAGAGGCTTCCAGAATCCCTAGCTCCAGCCACCACTGCATACTTGGAGAAGCAGGGGGTGGAGAGGACCCCCAAATGACCCCGGAGCCAAGGCAGTCCCTTCGCAGCCTGGGTCCTCCCCAGCTGGTCCAGCCCTTCCCTCTGATGTCGGAAAAGGAAGCGTTTCTCCCTCCTTGGGTTCTGGGGAAGTTCAAAGAAACGACGCTGCTGAAAAGGGGCCCGGCCATGGCTCCTTCCTCTGCCAAGGATGTGTCGGGGGCGCTGACATGGCACTGAAGTGTTTCTAGTTTTTTTTAAGCATCACAGGTTGAGGGCTTCCTCTCCCATGGAGAAAGCCACCTCCACTCCGCCTTCCACAGACCAGACCTGGCACCAACCCCGAAGCCTGGGCAAGAGCATCCTGATAGCCTCAAAATCCTCTCTGCGGAGGCGCTGGGGTCCCAAAGATTTACGGAAGAGAATGAGAACCCTGCTCCCCCCAAACCTGTGGCCTCCTCTTTTGTGGCCCGAGAAAGCAATGATCTCAAGTGGCCTTTTGCAATGGCCTTGACCTTCCACCCTCTCCAATCTCCTTACTGTTCCATTCAAACCAGAGGCTTTGGGGCAAGAGAGGTGTGTGAGCTGGTGCCGAGAAGCTTGTAGAAGCAGAATTCTGTTTTAAATCTTTTACCTGGCACAATACAGGTCACTGAGCAGCCTTCAAAGTATTTCATTTTTAAAAGCTTGCAGAGCCAAATTATACCAGAAAACACTCTCTCCACCTACATGAGTTTTCCAAATAACAGAATTATAAACTTCTCATAAGATAACGTTTTGACAAAAACTCATAGAACCAGACGACAGTGTGGTGCTTACCAGAGGGAAAGGGGTGGGGGGAGATAGCAAAGGTCACGAGGGGTCAAATTGGTGACAGAAGGAGACTTGACTTGACGCAATAAACAGATAATATATTACAGGAGTGTACACTTGCAACCTATATAATTTTATTAACCAAAGTCACCCCAAAAAATTTAATTAAAATAAAATTCTTAAAAATACATATATCATTTTGATGAAATGCTTATTAAAATGTCACGTCTAATGCATTCTTCACAGAATACACTGACCACAGTTCAGTTTTGCCTGATGCTCTGGGGTCATTAAGATCACTGATGTCACCACCCCGCAGCACAGGGATGCCCCGGTTGCGGACCCCCGCGCTCAGCGGTTCCAGATTGCTGTGCTGTGGTTTGTGTTTAGTATCATTTTTCTGTCTCCTCCCAGCTCTTAGTAACCGCTTTTTGCCGCCCATCTCTCCAGAGCCTCTACCAGCATTTCCAGTCTATTGTGATCCGAACCCCAGAGCCTGTTAGAACCGTGTGTAAACCAAGAACAAGCAGCACCTGGGTGAAGACCCCAGCAGCTCTGCTTTAAGTACGATGCATGGATGTCGGCTCATCTCACCCATGCTCAGGGAGGAGTTTCCCATCCTTCTGGTCCTGGGTGTGCCCCAAAGTCTATGCTGCCCTATCAGCCACCTCCAGGGCACAGAACACTGCCCCGCTGGGACAGAAGGGGGGCTGAGAGGACCAGAATTTTTCCTGGTGGGGCCCCTGAAAGCACCAAGCTGCCTGCTCAGACAGCCCTGCGACAGAGCCAGGGGGCTCCGCAAAGGCAAAGCCACTGAGGAGTTTTTCCTGTGGTCCCAAACAGGCTCCCCTCAGCCTCAAACGTCCTCGCTTAGGAAACCCGGGCTCTCATGGGGGCCTTTTGGGAACAGGGAACCACAGACCACTGAGCACACATTTTGACAGTGACCAGCAGCCTCTTCATTTTAAATTTAAAAAATTTAAATATTGTTTAACTATTTTGGAGAGGCTGAGTTTTCTGAAGCGAAACAGAACCCAGAGGCCCTTAGAAAGATAGTTAATGCCTCTTCATCCATCTCAAATAAATGACTTAACAACAGGGTATAAAAGCACGTTCTTTTCTGTTGGTTGTTTTTTTAAGCCCTGGCCTGTCCCTTGGCAGGCAGGCAACAAAGGGTAGCATTTATTAACAATATATAGTACTTTCTGTGAAGTAAGTAGTTTGCACTGCACTGTGATGTCCTTGTAGTAGGTGTGCACATGTGTGTATTTATAGGAAAAGGTCCAGTGCCATTTAGTGTCATGCCCAGGTAGGAATAATGCTTTTTTCTTTTTTTTAACTTTATATTTTGGTTTCTCAAGTTTCTTTTGTTGAGCACGTATGATTTTTATAGTTAGGTAGATAAAAGTTTATTTTTTAAATATTTTTCTTTTGTCACTTAAAAAAAAATCTTCCTCTGGTCCTTGTGTTCCTCCTTTCTGGGCCAGCAAATCTCCCAACGTATGAATCTAGTGGCATGTGGCTGGGCCACAAAGGTCCACCACAGGAGAACTGGGTCCCTGGGAGCCTGAGTTCCCGCCACAGAGAGTGGCATCAGCTTGTCTCACTCCTTGGCCTACCTTGGCTTCTGCAGCCGGGAAATGGGGCTGCCTTACTCACATGCCTTTCCAATCCCCCTGCCCCAGCTGGTCTCCCGGGGCCTTGAGGAGGCAGCCTTTGAAAGCAGATGGATGAGAGTGAATCAGCCCTCAGCGCTTCCTACGACCGGTGTGACTTTGTGTCATCAAACCACTTAGAGTCTCTGAACCCTGCTTTTCTCATCATCAAAATGGGAATAGTACTTACTACCTGGTGATGCAGTGAGATACTATATGCCAAGTGAGCGCCAGGAACAGAAGGGTACCCCTGAATAGCAGATATTGTTATTAGTGGAAATACCTAGAACACAGGGGCTTCAGCACAGGTTCCCAGCCCTGGCTGTACTGTAAAGTACAATAGGGAACTTTTAAAAGACTGAGGTCCAGGTGGGGCAGACATCCTCGTGTGGCTATAGCCACAAAAATTGCCCTTTAGGCCATACGTTCCACCTCCTTTCCCTCCACAAATCCATATCCATGGCGTCCTTCCCATTGACTCAAAATCACCACCTCCAGGAGGCCCTCAGCAAGTCTCCCGTGCTAACTGGGTTCCTTCAGCACCCAAATTTGATTCAGAACTCAGGGGCATTGGCACTTGCCATTGTGTTGACTGGAAAACATTCTCAAACCATTTCTCATGTTTGTATTTTCTACCTGTGTATTTGTTTTCTATCTGATGCTGAGCAAAGATGAGGCCTCCTGAATGCTGGGGCATGCTATGGGCTCTGTGCACGTTCTAGGTGATTAAAAAAAGGCCAGCCCAAAAATAAAATTAAAAAAAAAGGCCAGCCCAGCCCTAGTCAGTTTTGCTCAGTGGTTAGAGCATTGGCAGGTGGACTAAAGGGTCCATGATTCGATTCCAGCCAAGGGCAAGTACCTCAGTTGCAGGCTCGATCTCTGGCCCCTATTGGGGTGCCTGCGGGAGGCAACCAGTCAATGTGTCTCTCTCACATTGGTGTTTCTCTCTCTCCCTCCCTTCTACTCTCTCTGAAAAGCAATGGAAAAAAATCCTCAGCTGAGGATTATAATTAATTAATAAAGGGCAGCCCATGCAGTGGACCAGTGACTCTCAAAGTGTTGTCCCAGGACTGGCAGCATCCACATCACCGGGGACCTTGTTGGAAAGGCAAAGTCTCAGCCTACTTGGGACCGTCGCATTTGACAGTTAGCTCGGGTGGTGAGGCCCAGCGTCTGCTTTAACAAGCCCTCCAGGTGATTCTGGACTTGCTCACGAAGGACTGCTGAGTTAGGCTAAAAGCTAGTCTCCACCTGTGTGCCAAGTAAGGCCTTCACTTTCTCAACAAGAACAGGGCCAGCAGAAGTCTGGAATCTGTTTTCCACTGTCTACGAGTGTGTGTACCATGTTTATAAGAACAGAGCACACTATGGACAGTCATGTCTGCAAATTCATGTCGAAAAAAACCTCTGGGGCATGCTTTCACCCATTTGCCTATTACCATAGCCATTCCTTGTAAGAAAATATGCTAGAAAACTAGTTTACCCCTCATAGGTCTATGTTAAGCCTATTTTTTCCTGCTTTAAGTGGAATATATATGCTGCCAGATATTAACATTTCATTACGGCCCAGGGACCTTATTATGAACTAGCTTATGGTACTGGGCCACCAGACATAGGTGGTGATGTTTGGTTATTTGCACAAAATACAGCCCCAGGTTCCCGGCCATTTTGAGTCCTTATGCTCACTTTCTAGAATTTTCTGTCTGTTTCTACCTTCGGCAGTTACCACATGGTGCTTCCTCGGTGTGAGTTCCTCAGATAACCCCAGCCTCCCTTCTAATCTGTGTTGAGAAGACAGATAACCCTGCAGGGTCAAACTGTGCAGACCAAGAGTAAACAGCCATGAGGGAGCTCCCTCTGGGTTAAATTCTGAGCCTGGCATTCCAGTCCCCTCTCTTTCTCCAACCACAGCTCCCTCTTCAACGGGCCAGGCTGGGGATACATATCGGCCTCAAATCACGGTGCAGGTAGGGAAGTCGGGTTACCTGGTCCTGGAGTTTCTGGAACATCAGGGGGTGCGGTTCTTCCAGGATCTTCTCATTGAGCCGGGACTGCCCCTCGACGTTGACTTGTGACGAGGCCTTGCTGGACAGAAAGGTCATGTAGATCTCCTTTGCCTTTTCCTGCATCTGCGGGAGACACACACAGCCTGTTAGGCGAGCTCAGCCCTCCCTGGCCTGAGCCCAGCTCTCCACTCTGGCCTGGCCTGGGGGCTCTGACTGCCCCTCCATCTCCTGTCACAAAACTGCTACACTATCCATTTGAAAACGATGACAGGAAGAATCCTGGGCCACAGCGGGTGACATTCGGTACCATTCGGGTAGTCCTGTGAATTCTCCAAATTAAGGACTTCTGGGGACATCATTCAGCCATAACAAGGGATGAAGTCCTGACAGGTGCACAGCATGGGTGAACCTTGAAACCTTACGCTGACTGAAAGACCACGCACTAAAGGCCACATATGGCACGATTCCATTCATCCAAAGCATCCAGAACAAGCAAATCCATAGGGATGGAAAATGAGTGGTTGCCCAGGGCTGGGGGAGGGGAAAGGGAAGTGACTGCTTAGTGCAAGGGGCTTCTGTTCGGGGTAACGAGAAATTCTGGAACAAGGCCGTGGTGACGGCTGTATAACACTATGAATGTACTCACGGAGACTGAACCACACACTTTAAAATGGTTCAAAGGAGAAAATGAGAGCCCTAAAAAATGGCTAAAGTTGTAAAATTTGTTATGTGTATTTTACCACAATAAAAATAATTCAGTTGGCCAGGAGAGGCACCACCGCTCATTCAAGCAGCCTGCAGGGAGACTTAGGACCCTGCGGCTTCAAAGCCTTGCATTTCTGCTCAGCTCCACGCCTGCCGGATCCATTCTCCCCTCCTGGTTGTGTGGGTTTGTGGGCCTCCAGGGCAGGGTGTTTTTCCAGGTAATGAGATGTGAGTAAGAGCGAGGGAGAGAGCTCCCACTGGCCGCCCTGAGTCCTGAGTGCAGTCCTGGAAAGCACAGGCCCTGAAAGGCTTGTAAGCAGACTGAGGAAAGGTGCTTTGTCTGAAAACCAGCCTGCCTCCTCACTAAGGCTGCAGAAGGGAGCCTGGTCCTCCCAAGTGTCCCCTGAGGGTTCTCTCTTAGAGAAAAAGTGCCTGTACTCACACCTCGGGGCAGCAAACAGGGGGGCTGTATCTTTAAACACTAAAGCCTGAAGTATTACCTCACCCCTCGAGCAAGCCAGACAATAAATGCCTCTGAAATGCAGTCCTGGAGCTATGATTTGTGGAGGGAGTGAGGGGCCTTGGAAGGCCTGGAAAACTGCCTTTCTCCCCAAAGAAATCCCAGCCTATGAAATCCTTTGACCTCATGGAAAACACCAGAAGGCTTTGATACCTGGTGCCTGACAGTAGGAGAAAAGCAGTCCTTTAACTTATTTTAGTTCCAAGGACAAGTTGACAAAAGGCCCCATGAGGCTGAGGCCTGACCACCTCCTGTCCCCCAGGAAGACTGCCCAGGTGGAGGTCAACACCCAAGGCCTTGGTATCAGTTCTTGATCGACTATCATCGTGAACAATTCATCAATACCAGGCTCAAAGACATAGGAGCATCTTAAGATCAATATGGCTATTCCAACGGACAAGTCTGGGACCAAGATCCAGATCAGGGTGGGGCAGCACTTTGGGGTTGTTTGCCTCTCGAAGACCCACCCACTCCCTGAAGCCACGCGCCTCCCTCCCATCACCCCCATTCTCCCAGGAAAGAATATTCTGGGGAAACTACCACCTGTGTCAGCCTTCATAGGAGTATCAGCCAGTCCGATTAACAGGCTCCATGCAAAGCTCTGGAGTCTGAAAGGCAGCAACCACTTCAGGCCTCCTCTCCCCCTTGAACAGTCTCACACACACGCACACACACTGTTTCCAGATGAATCCAGGCTGTCTTGGGTGGTTCCGAAAAGGAGTGTCATGAATCAGTAGCTTGAGGCTTAAAGGAGGGGGTGTGAGGGCCGGGAGGAGAGGAAGCAGGTTCTGGGGGGCCTGTCTCTCAGCCCCAGTGCACAGCCCCAGCCACCCGTCCCGAGTCTGTCTGGGCACACCGTGGGGTCCCCACAGCGGCCCCGTCTCCAACTGGACACACTTCAGCGCAGAGCTTATCTGGGCCGGGATAGGAAGTGTGACTGAAAAGGGAAACCCCGAGACTGCCAACCGCAAGCTGGTCACGGGAAGGCCTGCTGTCCAGGCCGAGAGCCCTGGCCGGAAAACAAGAACCTCGTCTCTCAAGATATTTCGGTAGATTTTCCAGAGCTTTGTTAACCCTTTTCTGCCTCTGTCAGGATGGGGACAGAAAACATCCACCCCCTGTGGGTCACCCAGATCTGTGACTCTGGGTGTGACCTGGAGGATGGCCGGCTTCTCTACTCCAGCGCCCTGTGGACGACAAACGTGCCAGCGTCCCACCCTGCCCGGGGCGCTGGGAAAAGACCCCGCCGGGGCCCATGTGAGGGCTCCTGGCATCAGCCTGAGGACGGCCTGTGAGGCCTTTGCCCCCCGGGGAGCTCTTCCCAGACGCCCCAGGAGTCTGGGGCTTCCTTCCAGCCCGGCATCAGCCCGGGCAGAAGTCAGCACCGCCTCTGCTCCCCACAAGTGCATGTGCAGGAGAAGCCGGTTCCCTTTGACATCAGCCCCGGGAACAGCAATCTGCTCCCGGGAACAGCAATGGCACCAGCGCCCTGGCCCGCAGCTCAGAAGAACGTGGTTTTGCACGTGCTGGGTCCTCGCCCTCACCCAGTAAGCGCTGGGAACTTTCCCGCTGGGGAGATAAAACAAGGCCTCCTTTTACCCACGTCCTCTGGCTGATGCCTCCCCACCCCAACTTATTCCTGAAACATCCAAAGACGAGCGGCTGTGAGCCTCCATTCCCCCTCCCCACCCGCTCCTCGGCCTCTCGGAGGGCCTGCTGCCCTCACCGGCTCGGCCGCCACCAGCTCACTGCGGCCCCCGCGGCTAAGGCCCTGGGACCGTCCTCTGGACCGCTCTCGGGCCCCTGGCCCTGCTCACCACTGCTGCCCTCAGGCTTCTCCAACACCGCCTGCCTCCTTTGTCAGCTCCTGTCCCTCTGTCCCCCCCATAAATCCTGGGGTTTCCTAGAGTTGTGCCCTAGGCTGACTGCTTTCTAACCACACGCTCTCCCCAGATTTCAGCCCAACCCTCCCCCAAGCTGCTGACCATGTAGCCAACTGATCTCTAGAAATGTGGGCTTGGATGTCCCACAGACACCTCAAATACAAGGACAGAAGGGGCCCCTCCTGCCAGTGGGTCCTGCAGTCTCTACTTCAGGAAGGTGGGGACTGAGATCGCGACGCCCTGCCTGTCACCGGGTTCTGCTCACTTTGCTTCCTGCCCCTAACTCCACCAGCTGTCCCTCCCTATCCTGTCCCTCTCCAGAGGTGGATGACAGGAGAGGACACATAAGAAACGTAAAGGAGCAAGCTACCTTTATTAATATCAGCTGCAGGCTGAGAAGGAGGCAAAGAGAACATCAAGTGATTCGAGAATATTTCCGAGAACTGGCTCAGGAAATGGAAAGCAGCTGGAGGGACAGTGAATGACTCCGCAGAGAGCAAGAGCAAACCTGAGCACCTGCAAGGCTGGGGAGGGAGTGCCAACCAGAAATGTCCAAAAACGGCAGGAGCTCGGGCAGCGGGAACCCAGATGGAAGGAATGGGGGGGGTGGGGGACAGAAGAAAGAAGCCGTTACACCCCCAGGTCCCCAACCCCCAACTCCGAGCATTCATTCAGGCAGTCATCTCCCTCCCCTCTCTCTCCTCTTCTGCCCCCTCCCCAGGCGGGTGTTTTCTTCTCTAAAGAGCCTGACTCAGGGAAGCTGCAGAACAGAAGCATAAAGGGGGGCAAGGATGAGAGGCCAAACCAAATGGAAGGGGTAAGTGAAATTCTGCATACAAACTCCCTAGCAATGTCTCCCAATCTAGTTGATTGGAGATGTGTTTTGTTTATAAACATAATATTAGGCTTGTGGCCACCAGAAAGAGACTAGAGGGTCTAGAGAAAACAAACAAAAAAGCATAAAGCATTCAACAGAACAATTCAGCCCTGGCCGGTGTGTCTCAGTCGAGTGTCGTCCCATGCACTGAAAGGTCACCAGTTCGATTCCCAGTCAGGGCACATGCGCAGGTTGCTGGCTTAATCCCTAGTCCGGGATCAGCAGGAGGCAACGATTGATGTTTTTTTTTCTCTCCCTCAACCTTCCTCTCTCTCTAAAACCAATAAAAACATTTTTTTTTAAATTCAACAGAAGGCCCGGCCAGGCGTGGCTCAGCGGTTGAGCATTGACCTAGGATCCAGGCGATTGATTCCAGATCAGGACACATGCCCGGGTTGCGGGCTGCAGTCGATCAATGACTTTCATCATTGATGTTTCTATCTCTCCCCCTCTCCCTTCCTCTGTCTGAAATCAATAAAGATATATTTTAAAAAAAAAAAATTCAACAGAAGGATTTGAAGATAAAGCTGAAATCTCCAAAGAAAAGTAGGAACAAAAAGCCAAAAACTTGAAAAAATAATGATAATATTAATAACAACATAAGAACACTTCCCAGAGCTTCCATAAAATGCCCACACAGTGAATGAGCCCCACCCCGCCAAAGCCTCTAAGTGGACAGTTTTAGAACACTGGCAATGAAAAGAAGATCCTGTACCATTCCAGAGAGAAAAAAGCAAAGAGGACAAATCAGCTTCCATATGAAACACTGATTCTTAACAAAAATGAAGACAATGGAACAATGGCTTTAAATTTCTGAGTGAGTTTCGCCTAGAATTCATTCAGTTCTGTGCTCTGTCAGATTATCAATGAAGTGGGAGAGTAGGGGAAGAATTACATTTTCATTCAACAAGATCTTTAAACATCTACCCACCACATCCCCTTTCTCAAGAGGCTATTGCCAGCCTTGCTCCACCGCAATAAGCAGGTAACTCAGGACAGAGGAGGACCTGGGTCCAGGAAGCAGGAGAGGGGCAAAGAGAATGGCCAGTGGTGGCAAAGGAAGACCCAGGGAGTTGTGGTCAGAGGACCCCAGGAGGCCTGTCCCCAGGTGAGCCTGGACTGCAGAGATGAGCTGAGA